TCGGTAGTCATCTGATAAGCTTCTCCCGAGTGTTAGAGTAAAAGAAGATGTAGACCATTTAGAGATGATGGAATATGTCCATAGCTTTCAAGTGGCAACTTTTGACCTAAGGGGGAGATGCAGAGATGAGAAATCAAGTCAAGTGTTTGAGAGTAAGATAGTAATGAGTTACAAAGAGCTTGGGGGATATCTTTTTACAGGCCATTTTACAAATGGAGTTGTTAGAGTACTAAGCTTGAATGTTGTGTTGTTAAACATAAGGTGGTTTTGATATGAGCCCAATGTGGTGGTAAAGAGTAATAGTCTTGGGATGAGATTCCCTATAGAGAGGTATATGACTTGAATGTAATTAAGGATTTAGATTAAGCTTGAATATAATAAGAGCATACCATTACATGCAGACCTTAGTAAGAGTAACCCATCCCATACCCAATCTAGTCGTCATTCGAAGACGAATGATCCCAAGGGGGAGATAGTGTAACACCATAGAATTGTTTTCCGAACTGAGACTAAAATCATCCTTCGTTGTGAGTAGGATTTTACCGAGGAAAATAAAATTTCTTGAGTGTTAAGGTCACTAGATGTAGCAGCTTGAGTTCCAAGAATAACTAAAGAGAGTTCATTCAAGTCATTCCTAAGTTCTTGTAAGTTTTGGATCAACTTCAAATGACCATAACTTTCAGTACAGGATGAGTTAGGTGACCTAAACCGTACCCTATGAAAGGTCTTTGAAATATATTTCCAACGCCACCGAGTTTGCTAAGTTTCAACTTCGGATGAGTGAGATATGCCTTTTTGAAGTCAGGCTATCCAGTTAAGGAAAGTTATTTGAAAATAGTAAGGGGTATTTTGGTCTTTTCCTTACCAAATCAGATTTAATTCATTTTTAGTAAGGTTTTAAGGGTCTAATCCTATTGGGTTCAGTTTTATAATCCTCATACACGCCTAGGGTTTTAGTTGAGAGTTCAAGAACATAAAAGAAGAGGAGAAAAAAGGAGAAAAGAGAAAGGATCAAGGCGTTCATTAAGGTTCTTGAGTTTTGTCACGGATATTTGCCATGGATTTGATCCCTAAGAGGTATGTAAGCTTCCTTAATGTTGGGTTTTTTCACACACATGCCAAACATGTTATTTTCAGCGTATTTTCACTCTCAAAAGTTGAAGGATTTAAGTTCTTGATAGGTGTTCTTGAAGTTGATTCTAAATCTCGTTTTGTTGGGTTTTTGATGATTTCTTGAGATGAAAGTGATTATTTTGAGTGTACTTAGGTTAAGTGATTGAATCTAAGGAAAACTTGAGAAAATAAATCAATTAAAATCAATTTAGGATCAGAAAATGAGAGGCGAAATTAGTCAACCTTGGTCTGGGGAGATGCTGGGGCGGTGCGCCCCAAATACGCCCAAGGGGATGGGCTGGCGCCCCTGCAGTGCGCCCATATGCAGCCTCTGCAGTTTAGGGCTGGCGCCCTACGCCCAGAACGCATCAGAGTCGCCTGCCCCTACTCATGTACTGTCGGTTGTCCCGTTTGAGATCCATTGAAGTGTATCTTCACCCCTTTTGATCCCAAACACCTTGAACTTCTTCCAAACACTAAGAAATCATTCATAACATGAATCATAACCTTGAATTAATAATTCAAAATCAAGGTAAAGTTAAGAGTTAACTCTTGAGAGTTCTTCCGAACATTTTGAGAGAGTCCATTTGAGTCCTTTATTGAGGAGTCTTCTATAATTTCTAATAACTTGTTTCAAGATTCAAGTAAGTGAGCATGAGACTGAGCATAATGTATTCATGAGTCTACACTATCACCTAGATCCTTCATATCATGAACTATAACTCTTGAATTCATAATTCACATTCAAGAGAGAGTTAAGAGTAGAGTCCAAGAAATATTTGAGGTCAATCATAAATCCTTTAAGATCAACTATCAATTTGAGCCAAGTTTTGAGAAAATAAGTATGACAATGAGAGGATTCATTTATATGAGTTCCATGTTGTTATGTAGACCCTCAAGTCGAGTCGTTCATGACCATAATTCCGCATGAACTCTATAAGTTGCGTATCTTTGAGAGGAGTAGTATCTTCAAGTTCTAAGTCTTGATTATTGAGTTCATAATCCTTTGGGGAGTATATTACTAATCATGATACTATTACATGTTACCCATGAAGTCCTTGAGTTGAGTAGTTCATGCACATAACTCCGCATGAACCCTATAAGTCGAGTAGTCTTGAGATAAGAAGTATCTTTTAAGTCCTTGAGTTGAGTAGTTTATGCTCATAATTCCGTATGAACCATCCGAGTTGAGCATTCTTGAAATGGGAAGTATCATTGAAGTTCTTGAGTTTCAAATATTGAGTTCTATCTATAGTTGTTGAAAACCTTGAATTGAGTCGTTCACGTCCATAATTCGGCATGAACCTTATTTTGAGATGTCTTTGACAAATTTTTTCTAAACTTGTTTTAAGACTTGAGCACTTGAGTTGATAAAGAGTAGAGTCGAGTTCATTTTCTTTAAAATGATATATGGAAGCTAAGTATTTCCAAGAGTTAATGCTTTCTCATTTAAAAGAGGAGGAAATTGAGATTTCCAAAAGATCTTTGAGCAGTTGAGAAACATCTCCTTTTTAGAGTAAGATTTGAGTAATTATCTCAAACTGCAGAAAGAGTTATGTTTTAAACATATGAGTTGAGTATATTTTGGGAGTAGTATTGAGCACCGATATGGGGACGCGAGTTCAAATAACTCAAGTCTTCATAAACCATGTAGACGATGTGGGCAGAAAGAGTCATACTTTTTAGATGATTCCTCAGTGCTTTTTAGCACAGACTAGTGGATCCACTTAGTTGGGAGGTCTTATACCTTGGCAGAGTATAGGACAATTCTGGAAGCGTGGGCGAGACTATGTATCATCACATAGCTCATAGTGATGGTTATCGGTTAGAGAAACTCCCACATAGTTATATTGTATTTTTATATACATATTGAGTATTATTGTATTTTTCAATACATTGAGTTGCTATCTACAGTTTTACAGGTTTCCATATATATATATTGCACACTTTTACCATTGCCTTATCCTTGAGTATCATGAGTTGAGTCTTTCGAGTTGAGTATCTCTATGTGAGTACCTTCTAGTTGAGCATCTTGGGTTGAGTATCTTGAGTGAATATGTGCTTCATTTTGTCGAGTACCTTATTGTTGAGTTTCACTTAGTTGAGAGCCTTATTGCTGAGTTGAGTATCTTATCCTTGAGTACCTCTGAGATAAGTATGTTTGGGTAGTTTCGAGTACCCTTGAGTATTACTTGAGTGGAGTTGAACCATGTTTCTTTGAGTTGAGTTGAGTTGAGTGAGTTGAGAAGAGGTACGTATGTTTCTATTTTATCTAGTTCAAGCTTATGTTAATGCTTTAGAATTCCCCTTACATGCTCGTACATTCCATGTACTGAGCCATTTGGCATGCACCCTTTGATGATGCAGATATAGGTATTCAAGGTCATCAACAGGAGCTTCGTTGATACCAAATGGAGTTCGAGTTAGCTATGGTGAGCCTCCTTGCTTCTATAGGGTTCCACTTTTACTTTTAGTTATATTAGTTATTAGGAGGTCTTGTGTCTTATCCCGATTTCCATCTTTTTCACTTAGAGGCTTCATAGATAAAAAAATAGTGTTTTAAGAAGTCTGTTCATTTATTTTGTTAAATGTTTAAAGACTTAAGTTGCCCATTTTGGGGCGAGTTGAATATACTATATTATTCAGAGTTTTCTTTTTAGTTAAAGCTTTGTATTTAGGTTTCATAAATTTTTATTTAATTTTTAAGCTTTCGCATGCTTAAGTTAGTCTTCCGCTTGTTGAGTCAGGATGAGGGTTCTCTTGGGGACCAATAATGGTTCTTGAGTGCCAGCCACGTACAGGGTGTAGACTCGGGTCGTGACAACAACTTCTATAAGATACTAGATACTTTCATTAGACAACAACTGTATCATATGTATGCGGCAGAAAAAAATGAGAAGACTACAATTCTACAAAGATAAGGAAGAAACTTAAAGAAATGAAATATTTTTTTCACCAAAGGTGATGTTGTTCATATATTATAATTAAATTATGATACTGAAATATATATGTATATCTAAAACAAAGAATTGGTCAAGCTAAATATTTGACATACACTCAAACCTCAATTTAACCATCATTCGTTATAACAATAAAGTACCTTTTTTTTTTATAAAATTACCTCTCTATGATAATCTTACTCAAATATTAATTGGTAAAAGATATGTTACATATAAAGATAAAATATTGAAATACTTATGGTAATCCTTATTAGTGTCATGCACATACTAAATTTCAAGTATGAATATTTAAGACAAAATTTATACTTAAACGGTGTACATCATTTATGTTTATAACCTCAAGAGGAAAGGCTATTGGTGACATTTTTTGAATGGATATTTTTTTTCTATTTTGTTGATTAGATCTGTTTAATAAATTGAGTGAAGTAAGAAATAATATTATTAAACAAATGTCACTTTCTCCCATATTTAAACTTTGAATGTATTTTGAAATGTTTTAGTGATATCTGTTCTTTTGATCTGAAAATACAAGTAACTCTATGACAATATGTAATAATAATTTAAAAACACTTGTCCTATGTTCGTTCAATTATAATTATTTACTAAAAAGCTTTAATTTAGTAATATTAATTCTATTTTACAATATCATATACTATATATACGATACACACGTGCCGTAAAACTAGTTTATATAAAAAGAGAAGGCGAAAATGATTTTCTAGTTGTATGTCTTTATGTTGACGATGTGATATATCTGGGTTTGAGTGAGTCTATCATCACTGGATTTAAAGACTGCATTATGAAGAACTTTGAAATGTCTAATTTGGGTCTACTTCATTATTTTCTTGGTCTTGAGGTGAAACAGGGAGTTGATGTCATATTTTTTTCATAAAGAAAATATGAACAAATCTTTTTAAAAAGTTCAATATGGTAAATTTCAATGTTGCTGCTACGCCGACGAATATTAATGAGAAGTTATATCGTGATGATGGTTCTGAAATTGCAAATGCGACTTATTTTAGAAATCTGGTTGGTAGTTTGAACTACTTGTCTAATACAAGACAACACATTTCTTTTTGTGTTGACATCATATCGAGATTTCTGCACAATCCGGGTAAGCTTCATCTTGGAGCTGCAAAAAAACAACTGGGATATCTTGCAGGTACGACAGATCATGGAATTTTGTATTCTAAGGCAACAAACTTCACATTAATTGGCTTTAATGGTAGTGACTACGCAGGCAACATTGATGATAAAAAGAGCATATCGGTTTTCTTGTATAATCTTGAATCTGGAGCAGTTTGATGGAGTTCAAAGAAGAAGGGAAATGGTAGCATTATAAACTTCAGAGGCTGAATATATTGCAACAACTTCTGCAGCTTATCAAGAAGTTTCGTTAAGAAGACTTGTTGCTGATTTTAATCAGAAACCAACTGGTGCAAGTGAGATTTTTGGTGATAATAGATTTGTGTTGCAATGATGAAGAAGCCAACATTCCACTTTATAAATTTAATCAATAGAAGATCGAGCAATGTCATTTCTCATGTGACTCACCACTACCCAATGTTCGTCAAGCCTACTCACTTGTTATTCAAGAAGAAACACAGCGAGGTATGGCAACAGAACAAGTGGAAGTTTTTTCTATTTCTGCTGCATGTCAATTAGTTTTGTTAAGGAGACTTGTTGCTGATTTTAATTAGAAACAAGCTGGCAACTGAGATTTTTTGTGACAATAGATCTGTTATTGCGATGTCAAAGAAGCCAACATTCCATAGTAGAACAAAGCACATAGATATTTGCTATCACTTTATCCAAAGACTTGTTTCTACTGGGAAATTACTTTGAAGTCTTGTGATACAAATGAGCAAGTAGCATACATCTTCCTGAAGTCACTTCCGCAAGCAAAGCAAGAGTTCTTCAAAGGTCAACTTGGAGTCTACAATTTTGAATCAAGGCAAGTATCGAAAAGTGATTCAAAAGATACTTGACCAAGTCTTTAGGAGTTTGTTAGTTAATTTCCTTTATCTCAGCAAGTTTAGATATTGTTGCAAATTAGTAGCTAATTAGTAATTAGACGGTTAGTGGACCTAGATTTTAGTATTTTCAGTTTTTGTTAAGACGATTTATAGAAGGTCTTGTTCCTTTCATCAAAAATCATATCTGAAGAAGTTTACAGTAACTTTTAATATCTTTAACTCTCTTTCTGTTCATTTTCCTTTTCATTATCTTTTTCTTTCCAATGGAGAACACTCAATTAAAGATGTGTACCACGTCAACGGGCCGAAGTACAATATACTATGTGTTTCAAAGATTTGTGATGAAGGCAGTGAAGCCAAGTTCTTATTAAATAAGTATGTGGTTACAAACTTGATGTAAAAGAGATGCAAGAATATGTATATTGCTGATCTCCACACTATTCATAGTGAGAATTTCATGTGTCTCAGTGCTCAAACTGAAAATGCTGACTTGTGGCACAAAAGACTTGACGATGTAAGTGCTTCTCTTTTGAACAAATTTGTGTCGAATGGCCTAGTCCGTGGATTGCCAAAGATTAAATTTGTTGATCAAAAAGTTTGTGATACATGTGTCAAAAGAAAGCAAACCAGATATTCTTTCAAGATAAAGAAGCAAGTAAACACCAATGGGCATCATGAATTACTCCATATGGATCTTTGTGGTCCTATAAAGATTGGAGAAGGGGTGGAAAGAAGTACATTTTTGTGATTTCTCAAGGTTCACCTAGACTATGTTTCTGTAGTCCAAGGATGAAACGTATGATGTACTAATGATATTTGCCAAGATGACCCAGAAAATGACCTATAAGATTGGAGAGATTATGTTAGATCATGGCACTGAGTTTAAATATGCCAAAGTTGAAAGTTTTTGTGCTGAACATTGATTCCATCATAAATTTTGGCTCCCAATACACCTTAGTAAAATAGGGTGGTTGAAACAAAGACAAGTACCTTGGTTGACATTGTTAGGATTATGTTGTGGTCCATTTTTAGGACTTGTTGTTTTATATTAGACAACTTTATACTTGTGACTTTCAAGTTCTTGGAGGGATTCTATTGTATATATATTTTTGGTTTGCTTCCATTTCCATCTTATTTTATTGTTTAATGTTAGTGTTGTTTAGTTCTACCCTTGTATCCATTACTTGTCATTCTGGGTATGAATTGACTTACCTACTGGTTGACGATAATAGGAGGAATCAGATCGGTACATCTTTAACAATAAAAATAACTATTATGTTTCACTTCTAAATAAGAAAAATAATATACTAATTATGAACAATCGAGAAGATGTTAAGTTTACATTTTCATTCTCAAATAGACACGTACAACAACGAAGTAATTAATTATGTCTTACTTAAAATAAATAAAAAATTACTAAACATAAACCATCAAGAAGATATTCGATTTGTATTTTAAATCTCAAATGAACACATAAGACAAAAAATACTAATTACTATGTTTCACTATGAAATAATATAAACAATATGTTAACTATAAATATTTGAAAAGATATCATATTTACATTATAAATCCCAAATGAAGATGTATAATTAACCAACCTTTGACCTAAAATTTTCATTTTTAAAACAAAAAAAAGACAATGCTAGTAAAACAGAAATACAACAATTGATGGTATAAAATCATATTAATACCTAATAAAAATATAGTATTTTGTTATCTTAAACATAAAATTATTTTTACTAGAATATTTTTTTGTTCAAAAAATCAGATTGAATACTAGATATGAATCTTAATCATTTATCTTTTGGTAAGTGAGTAGGAAACCATTCATAGTGGTAATCATTTATCTTTTTGTAAGTGAGTAGAAAACCATTCACAGTGGTCCCACATTTTCTTTCAGTCTATACAAGTTGTAATACATATATCAACTACTTATACATTATTAGTTAACATACAAAAGTTGCTTAAATGAATTAATCAATTGATTAATGTAATCTTTATGTTTGTTATCTCACAATTTTTGGTAAGAAATAAATAAATAAATATATCCATACCATCTATCCATCTTTTATCTATCTATTTTTTATTCTCTAGTCCAATTTTTTGGTTCCCAAAAACACCTTTTGAGTCTGCAATTCAATATCTCTCCGTTAGAGGTAAGTAAGTTTTTTTTAATTAAAATTTATATCATAGTACTGGTATTTATCAATTTTTTTAAAAAATAAAATTTTTTAGATGTACAAATTTTTTGTTTAGATTATATAGTTGTAAGAAAAAGTAGAAAAAAGTTAGTTTTGTGGAAATCAACATGGCTGTTGCTCTAGATTTTTGTTTGTTTAATTACGAGTTTCTGCTATAATTATAGATTCTCCAAATTATCAATTTAGAGTTTGTAAAATCTTTGAATTTTTAATGAAGTCCTTAATTAGAGATATATGATAACCCTTCATAGAACATCCGATAAAATAATAAATAGTGTAACATGAATTGAAGACCCAAGAAAAAAAAGTCCTTCTATAAAAAAAATATTTTTTCTCTACAAAGATTATACGATGTACACCTAAATTATATACGTCAATGAGTTAAAATAGCGTATGTGTTAAGTACTTTTAATTCTTTTATTGGTATGACACTTTTTTTTTATTAAACAAGATACTTGTATTAAAAGTTTATTATGCGCTATTACATAATAGTGGAAGTGTTAAACTACTATCAGGGTTTGAGGGGGTGCTGGGGGATGGAGAGACTATGATTATAGGGTGTGTGTGTGGGAGGGGGGGGAGACAATTGTTATGACCTTATAGGTAGTATTACAAAGGCTTATAGATCTAAAATCTTTCATGTTATTTGGATTTCTCTTTTTTTTTGGGATCAAACAGATAGGTGTTTCATTAATTTCCTTAGGTATCCCTCCTTTATTAAAAACTTCCTTACAAAGTAATTATAAGGTTTCCAACAATGTTCTAGTATTTGATACCATGTTTGACTAATAATTTTAACATGATCCGGATTAGTTGTCCCCATGGTTTCAAATTCAAAGAGTAAATCACATTTATGGTTTGAATTTGGAATTAGTATAAGGAGAAGTTTACATAGATCTGAGTGTGTGAATGACAAGTTTTGTACTTCTGAATAAAAAAATATGTGAATCCACTTATCGTTTGCAAAAAAAAAGAAGATCTAGTCTTTCATATTTAAGTTGGGACTTATTCACGTGTAGCAATCACCTTTATAGCCCATATCTATCAATTCACAGTAGTTAACAATCTCCATAAATCATTAGCTCGTGAGTTATTGATAGGTTTTCCTCCAATTTTATCTATTAAGCTTAGGATTTCGCTAAAGTCCCTGCCTAATAGTCAATTATCCTTGAAACTATCTTTTATTGTTTTTAGGTTTTGCCATAATATTTTATGAGAATCTCTATATGTGCTAACATAATTATTAAATACAACTAAAAAGCCATGAGTCATTTGGTGAACTTACCTTCAACATTGCATGAATCTCCTGCCCAGTGGTAGCAATGTCATCTCAATCTAGTACTGTATCATAGCATAAAATCACTAAGCCTTCAAAGTATCTAGTAATTGGGACTTGAATCATTCTTGTAAAGGTGAAGTTATCTAAAACGGGTTGATGTTCCTGCTTTTTTGTTTCGACAAGAGACACTAATGGTGGCTTGTGATAGTCTAGTAATGCTCAAAAACTCCTTCAAAAGGCATCCACATTGCATCCCCTACAATTTCTTAGTATTAATTTATTGACCTATTCAGTGCGGGAGAGGTGTTCATCGGTACTACACCTTCTAAGTTCAAGGGGTTCTCCACTCTTAGAGTTGGATTCATAACTATCACTTAGTATCCTATCTCTTGGTCGTTGAGCTTTTAAACAGATTTGGTGGACAAATAAATATGTGTTTTATTTTCTAACTTCTCTTCAAATATTACAACTTTTATGTTCTTTAAACCGCTATTTATGTTCAAGTGTCCCTCAATAACTCTATTACATCCTTTACCTCTTGTAAGTCTACATTTTTCATTCAACTTTAGATAATATAGAGGTGGGGAGGAGTTCTGAAGGTGTATTACTGGGGAGGCTATTGTAGGGCTAGTGGGGACCGCTTGGGGAGCTCTCTGACGCATTGTTGTGGACCAATATAATAGAGTAGGTTGTTGTCGTTTCCTGATGACCCCACGGAGTTGGCATCGTCTGTGTAATCTAATGAGGAAAATAGATTGGCGGGAAGAATAGAGGTTCCCTTTTAGTTGTTCGGCTAAGAGGACTGAAGAGAGGATCACAAGTTGGGTGATGGTAACAAGGGATTTGTGGGAACAAAAAACTCAGAGGAGGGAGAAGGATTATTGAAAACCAAATATGGCTGTTGTATGTATCCATGGCTAGTCTCACACTCTCGGAGACCACTTGAGCCAGGAAGGTCAGGTTTTGCACTAATATTATCACTTTTCTTCCCTCTACCGCCACACTAAAAGAGAGAGCTTGATATTACAGACTAATCTCCAACCATGAGTAGGGTGTTGGGTCCAGTTCAGGTGCTTGGGTAGCAAAGTAGGTGTGTTCCCCACGGGTCACCAGATAGGTTGGAGGATTTTATCATTCATATTGTTTTGGAGTGATCGGGTTGTTGTCCTAGAATGTTTAGAGACTAGTGAATGCCTTATTTTCCCACATCTTCGTTAAGAAGATAGTGGAACTCTTTAAATTTTTGGAGCTTATAGGTAGTTCTATGGATAAAGACTTGATAGGATTAGAAGTGGAGTTCTTTTTAAATCTTTCTAAATAAAGAATATCAGTCCTAGGAACATTGGTAGTTAATTTATTAGTGTGAGTAGTTCTTATCTGTAATTAAAGAGTCACTTTCTGGATATACATTTTTTATTTTAGGTGGTGTACCAAGATTTCTACAAGTATCTTGTTTATTTCTCTTGTTTTCCTAGCATTTTTTAGATGTGGTACATTTAGTTTCAAACAAGGAGCCTCTAGGTAATGACTGGTGTAGGATTTCCTTAGAAAGGTAATTGGTATTTGTTTTTAAAATAATTTTTTCATTTATGAAATTCGTAGGGTTACTGACGATGGCTTCCAAGATTTGTTGATTTGATACTGTTGAAGATAAAGGAAACTGAAGCTATGGAATAGGCTGAACAACCTAGTCCAATGAACGTGGACAACAGAGTTAGAGTCATTCTAGGATTAGGTCAATTGTATTGACTAGGCTGCAACTTTTTGTACTAGCTGAAGTCGACTAGGATTATACTACGACTAGAATTAGATTATTTATAATTGCACTATTATTATTATAGTATTAATAGGTATTGTAGTAGGACTCTATGTATAGCTAACATATGACTCTACAACTCTCTCCTGATATAAGGAACATGTACTCAACAATTTCAATCATCAATACAATCCTTGATTCTCTAATCCTAGACGTGAGAATTCTTGAGATATCTCTTTAGGGGTTATAGGGGCCAATGTAGGGGTTAAGGTAGCGCCGATTGGGGAGAAGTAGGGGTTAGAGGGGCAGTTTCAAGCTTTGAGATGTGATTTGCAGCGAGATTTGTGATTTTTTTTTATCCATTTGGAGAGTAGCTCTTGAGGAATCAAGCATTTTCCTATAATGAAAAGTTCTTGATTCAAGATACTTATTTGTGTCCACATAAAATAATCTAACATTGTATTGCTCAGTTGCTCTGTTTTTTGTTCCTTACAAAAGTGACTAACTGCCAATCTACATTTCCCTCTGTATCGCCTTTTGATTTTTCTATTGTTGGACGTTGGTTAGCATCGCTTTGATCAACTACCACTTGATCAACCCGTTTATCATGTTTGCTCGAGTAATTTTGATTGACGTGACCAAGCACTCCCAAAATTGTGCATAGAATGTTGGATCCTTTGTATACTAAAGTCTTATCTAGATTGCAGATTTCATCTCCTTTGTTTTCGAGGCTATAAAATTTGGGTGTAATCTTTTGACGACAAAAAAAAGCCATTAATGAACCATGGCCCTAGTTGCTGAATTTTTTTTTGTTTTAAAAAAAAAAAGAATTTTACTATGTAATAGTCGTGTCCCTAATCTATTAGGACAACTTCCTCTTATACCCTCCACATCATTTTCAATTTCCTTTTTAGATATAGGTGACTTTCACCCCCCCTCTCCTCCAAAGATCTTAATGATGATAGAGTATAGTTCAATGAAAGAAGCCATGATAAATTTCTAATTTGTAATCGATGCAATAGTAAAGCTATTGGTATGGACATAAATGTTGATGAACATCAAACATAGAATGAATATGCTCGACCAAAAGATGAAGTTAAGAGGATAACGTTTGATATGAACAAACTTTTAGGGTCATCAACATCATTAGAAGGATCATCGACTTTCATGATGAACAATTCAGAGTTGCGATCACTTGATAAGCCAAGATTAATAAATCTTGCTCTGGATGCCTCGGATGAGCTGCATAGGCTGGCTAGGAGTGGAGAACCTCTCTGGTATAGAAGTGTGGATGGAGATGGGGAAATGTTGAATGTTAAGGAATATGATAGCTCTTTTATACTAATTATTGGTATGAAACCTGGACATTTCACAACAGAAGCTACCTGATCATCATGTGTAATGGCTCAAAACTGTTTGACATTGGTGGAAACGTTGATGGATAAGGTATGCTAGTTCTTCACCTTAAATTCAATGTGTTCCACTCTCATAAAATTTATTAAGAATTTTCTTCTATTAACTTCTTACCTCTTTAATGTAAAAAATTCAATGCCTTCCACTCTTTTATTTAATGGTTTTTATTAGTTGTTGCATATTTTTAATCATTAAGTTTAACTTTTAATTCATGATAAAAGTATGTGTTGACCTATTATGTTTTTCTTTCTATGCACTATGTTTTTCGTTTTGCAGAATCGATGAGTGGAGATGTTTCCATGCATTGTCGGTAACACCAGTACTATTGATGTGATTTCTACTGGCTTAGGTGAAAACAAGGGCGCTGCTTTGCTATTGGTATTTCTGCATAGTCAATATTTTGATGAAACTTACATATCTTTTTTATTCAATCATTTTCTGTACTAAGAACTTGAAAGTACTGATTTGCAGATTAAAACTGAATTACAGCTTATTTCTGATTTGGTTCCTTTTCGGGAAATAAAGTTTCTCCGCTACTGTAAGAAACATGTTGATGGTTTATGGGTTGTTGTGGATGTGTCTGTTGACTATCCAACAAGGTTCACAACAATGTGAAATTCAAAATTGCCGAAGGCTCCCTTCTGGTTGTGTTGTTAAAGACATGTTTAATGGTCACTCCTAGGTAATTCAACTTAAATTGTCCATCCATTTTACATCATGTGTAGGCCTCTATAATTTTCTAAAATTTAATGAGCTAAGTTTCTCATATTGCATGAAATTTAATTCCCTTCTAATGATTCAATGTTCATATAATATTTTTAGGTTATTTGGATCGAGCACATTGAATAATGAAAATCATGTCAACCATTTGTACCACTCTTTGGTCAAGAAGGGTCGAGGTTTGGTGCACAAAGTGGATAGCCAGTTTGCAAAGGCAATCAGAGTTCTTGAGAGTGATGAAGTCATTTGTTGATCCCACGAGTAATCATACAAATCCTTTGTGCCCTTTTTCTTACACTTTTGAGTATTAATAAAAAAAATTGAATTCTAATGATATTTCATTTATGGCAGTTGTCTCAAAGGACTAGATTTGTATGTGGATGTTGGTTCAACGCATGACTCGCAATTTTTGTGCGGGGGTTTGTGCCACTACTCACAAGTGGAAAGTAATTCAATTAGAAAATGGAGAATATCCAAAGTTGATGACGAGGACGAACACTGGTCATATGGGTGAGCCTATTGGTGCAGTGGTAAGTGCCACATAGACAATTAGGTTACCCATCAAACAATAACACTTGTTTGAATTCTTCATTGATAATAAAACAAGGAGCCAATGGGATGTCTTGTCCAATAATGATCCAATGCAACCGTTGGTGGACATTTCAACGGCTCAAAATCTGAATAGTGGCATTTCTCTTTTATGTGCTCATGTGAATGATTAATTGTTGTGTTTTCTAGAAATGTTATATTATTAGTTCTTTTAATTTATCGTTAATATATAACTAAGTTATCTTTTGGTTTGACATTGTAGGGGGACAACAATAGTGCAAAACAAAACAACATGCTGATCTTTCAAGATGCTTGTACGAATGCAATTGGATTTCTTTTAGTATATGGAATAGTTAATTCTCAAGAAATCAATATGATGATGAAAGAGGGGGATTCTTCATTTGTTCATCTCTTGCCCAATGTAATTTCAACAGTTCAACATTGTTCGGCAACTGATAACGGCAATGGTATTTTTAGAAAGAACGATAATGGAGTCTATAGTGGATCATTGGTAACTATAGGGTTTCAAATGATGGAGAACAACCTTCATGCTACAAATCTTCATATGGAGTCAATAAAAAATGCAAACGACATCATCTCTTATACAATTCATAAGATCAAAATCGCTCTCAAATGCAAGTGATACTCCAAGACATACTATTATATCCAGTGGTTCATTACTTTTTTTGAGTTTTTTTTTTGTTGGAAAAAAGTGCATTAAATATTAAATTTAGAGTCCCGAATAATATCTGTTTTTTAATGTTAATGACCGTACGTTGTTATTGTGTCGTACTATTTTGAGTTTACCTAGAAATTCTCCTTTTTGATGATCTATTGTTTGTTTTGATTTTGTTTTACATTCAATGGTCTTGATATCAAGCCAACTAATATTAAAATGAGTGAAAACCTAAGAGATAGATCAAGTTGGTGGAACGCTTCTCATAGTTTCTATACTGTATTTTTGACTTGTTGGTATAGGTGGTATGCTTTTTAAGGTGGTAGGAGAGTTTTGGGTGAGTTTTGCTCAGGTTCGATTTGCATTTGCAGATTTTTATCTTTAGTTGGTGATGCATTCGCTCTACCGAAGCTTTGTTCGCTTTAGCAGATCTTCTCCTACAGTGAACTAGTTGCACCGGCAAAAGTAGGTGACGTCAGTGGGGAGCCACACTTTCGGATGCCTATCGCCGGTGTGGGCTCACGCCTACGGCTGGCCTTCGCACCTGTGGAGCCAAAGGAATTTGGGGAGATCTGCTCTTGCAAACTTTTTTGTACTAGCAGCACCATACATGTGGCCACGAGTCTGTCAGATTGACGATCGCTGTATGTTTTATATCTCTTGTTTTCTCTGTTTTCAAATCAGTGTGTAGTAAACCCCATTGTTGTGAGCTTAGTTTAGAGTGTTGTTGCTCATTTCTTGTCCATTTATTCTAGTTCAAAGGTAAATTTATTCCTCTTTGTCTTCTATATCGTTTTTAAGTTTCAATTCCATAATTCATTCTTGTTTTAGACCTCAAATTCTTTCATTTTAAATTCTTTAAAGTAGTATTTTTGGACCGTTATCAATTCCGAATTCACTTCCATCTGACTATAGTATATACCAGAATTAAGACTCTCAATAGACGTTCCTTATGGAGTAATGTGTGGTGATTTCAATACAAAATTGATTTCAATGTAATAGAGGCAGAAACACAGGAGTTCAACACTTTTTGCAACAAATGAGATCAGAATTCTAGAGTTTATTTTAAAAAAAAAAACAGATTGGTCACTTGGAAATCTGCAGTGACCACTTGAAATTGAGTTTTGCTGTTTGGAGTCACCTTTTTGAGTCACTTTGTTGTTATTGAATAAATCAACGAATATGAGTCATACCGATTATACATTTCCTTATTTGATGTAGTCTCTTTCATGTACTACAATATTAGTCTATTATCAAACACAAATCTTTACAGACACATAATGGTCCATGAATAACACTAGTATACTTGATCAAAGTTAGAACATGTCCTCAACATTCTCAACATTATGTATACAAGAGAAAACCGATAATAACAGAAACATACATTTAAATGAGCTCAAAGTGTCAATTTCGTAATCATATTACATTCTTTACATAACGACTTTCATTGCCATCAATGATGGGAATTCTTTCAATATGTTCAACAAATGATTTAGGCAATATTCCTTCCATTGTCACTTTATGCTTATGGACTTCTTCTTTAACCGAAAAGAATTTCAATTCTATATGCTTGGCACCCTTTGAATATTTGACATTTTTAGACAAAAAGCTATTTCAATAGTATCACAATAAACTTGTAGTGGCTTCGCAATATTGTCGACTAGTCCAAGTCCTTATATGAAGTTATGCAACCAATTAGTCTAAATTGTAGCCTCAAAGCATGCCACAAACGTAACTTCCATAGTGGATACAACTATAACACACTCTTCGCACTCTTTCATGATTTGCTCCTCCAGCTAATACGAATAAATATCTAAATTTCAATTCTCTTGTATCAACACAACCAAAATAATCGGATTATGAATATCCAAACAAGGCTAAACATCTTCTGAAATCTTACATCAAAATAGCGAGCTAATTATGAAATCTTATATCACAATACTTACTGAAAACTACACAACCAACATAATCTAATTCTGAATTTCCAAACATGGCTAAACATCTTCCGAAAGTTTACATAAAAATAGCTAGCAAATTATGAAAGTATACATTAGAATATAGACTAAGAACCTAGCTTCTCCGGGAATGTCATGATCCACAATTGAACGTGATGGCACTTGTCTTATCCCACCAAGACAAGTTAGCGTAATACCCAACATAAATAAAAAAATACATAAGTAAAACATAATGAATGCCTAATACAATTTCAATTAGGCTGATAACATAGCATAACTCAACTATAACCCCAAGACATAGTTGTCATGTGTAGAAGCCTCTAGTGTAATACAATATATTTGAAAGAAGTACAGGTCTCAATTCCATTGTTTCTAGAATCGAACAAGAATATAATAAAAGAGTAAGAGGCGCCCGCCGAGATGACATGCAGCTACCTCACAACTCTCCACAATAAGCCTCAAACGTAGAAGAGAAAAATGAGTAATACGATGATCGGTCCTCGTAACCTACACAAGTGTAGAAAGGAGTGAGTATCACAGAACAACGATACTCAGCAAGCAAATCAAAAAATCCCTAAATAAGGCAATACTGAACACAAGTACTCCAACCACACCAACCGAACCACCACAACCTACAATAGACAATCAACCCAACCCAAACAGTTCTCACTCAAATAAAACATAGTAAGAATAGAGTATCACAACTTGCACCTCAATATACACTATAACCTAACAGTTCTCACTCAAAACCAACAGAGTGAGAATAGAGTATCACAACTTGCACCTTAATATACACTATAACCTAATAGTTCTCACTCAAAAACAACATAGTGAGAATATAGTATAACAACTTGCACCTTAATATACACTGTACATAGTCGAATTATCACAGTCTTTCACAATTCAATAACCACGATAACATTTCATAAATTACAACGAATAAGAATCCAATAGAGTTCAACAATATGAAGTTTAGTGTCATATAGAGCGATGCATGTCTGTCCTAATAATACACAAACGTTGTCTCTCAGTTCAAAACCAACATGGAACATATCTGTCCAAGCACCTACCAAAGA